TCCCCTCATCGTCCCTGCAGTCCCAGCAAACTCCCCCAGCCCTTGGCTGCTGACAGGGGTGTGGAGCAGGCTGGGGACTGCTGGGATCCATGGGGCCGGAGTGCTCTGATGTCCACCAGGGACCAGAGCCACAGGAAGGTTTTGCAGCCCCCACATGTGACACTGGACTGACACTGCGGATTTTTGGGTTCCCCCACATTCTCCCCAGTCACAGAGCTGTGCTCTAGGGGGCGAAATATTCTCAGTGGATGGGTTTGGGTTGTTTTCCCACAAGTCTGTGACATGGTAGCAATGACCTTGACTCCTCCTGTGGGATCCCCCGCTGATTCCCTTGTAGCGTGTCAGGCAGGCACCATGCCTGTCTCCCTGGGCACAGGGACTGGCAGACACACAGGGCTTGTGTGTTCCTTGTGGACACACAACCAAGAGCTGCTGCCCCTGCATCAGAGGAGGAGAAGCCACAAGGGTGAATTTTGCCACTTTTGCCTGCAAGGAATGTGCTCCAGGAAAGTCTGAACTGAACATGACCTCTCTTTCCCTCAGTCCATCTCTGGCAGCAGCAGGCTGACCATGTCCCTGTCCTTGACCCCTGCAGTCCCAGAGCTGGTGTGGGCATGGGCTGTGCCAGGGCTCTGCCATGACACAGGCCTCTCCTAGGCTCTGGGGTGCCTTCTGAACAGGTTGTGACAGAGCCACGGTCCTGGAAAGGTGAACAGGAGCCCCAGGGCCAGGCTGTGTTTGTTTATCCTGGTGATGGAGCACACAACAGCAAAACAAAAGGTCAGACCCTGTTGCCCTGGGAGATGGTTTTTGAAGCTGCCTCCCATCCTGCTGGGACTTGGATGGAGCGGCCCCAGCACTTGTCATGTCAAGTTATTTTTGTAATTTTGGCTGGTAAAAGGTCTGAGGCAGGCAGTGTGAGGTTCAGGGATACATTGATCCAGCGCCAGAAGGGCCCTAAATACCTGCTGAGAAGAGCACCCAGCCCTGGGACTGGGGAGGCAGATCCCCATCCCAGAACTCCTGCAGCCAGAAGGACCCAACCTGCTCCCTTAGTCCTAAGTGAGGCACATGGAGCCCCTCCAAATATCCCAAACGTGGCTGAGTCTGACCAAAACTTCACTCACATTTGGTCCATCTGAATAATGAACAGACACAAACTTCTTCACAACTTTGCCAGGTTTAAGGTGGTTTGTGAGCTCCAGGTTTGAGCTCACTGTGGGCAAAGGTGGGGAGGGCACTCTCAGGAAGCACTGTCAGGAATCACTGCCAGGGAGGGAGAGCAGGTTCTGAGCAGCCCCTTGCAGGCTGCTCCTTGCTAACTCTGCTTTTACTCCTGACCCTCTTTGTTGGGGCAGAGCTAATAAATGCCACCATCAACTCCAAGCATGCTTTGGTGCAGTTGTGGGGAGCCTGGGTTGAGCAGCGTGGAGATGGAAAGGGAGGCTGTTCCAGCAGTCCTGGCTGATCTGCCTCTTCTAGAATAGCTTCTCCAACACTGCACCTCAAAGCCTGACGTGGCAAAATTCACCAGACTCCTTTTTGAAAGTGGGGAGACTGAGACACACAGCTGCCCTGTGCCCAGGCTGGGGCACATGGGGAGGCAGTGGTGAAGCTGTGAGCAGCCCTTATTCACCGTGTGAGCTTCCCTGTCCCACCCCAGCAGCTGCCAAGGGAGAGGAGCAGCAAACCAGCCCTTTTCCCTCTACATAAAGGCCCCAAATCCCCCAGGCAGCTGGGTGCCTCCCTCTGGCACCAGCAGGGAGGTGGGACACAGACTGATCCTGGGAGAAAGGCACGTTGTGTCTGGGCAGGAGACCAGCAGGGAGTGAAAACCACGTGGAACAGCCCTTGTCTTGCTGCTTCTGGTTGTCAGCACAAGGAGTTCTTGTGTTTACCCAGACCTCAGGGCAATCAGCTGTTACTAACAACACAACACCCCTTGGTCCCACTGCCCCGAGCCCAGCGAGGAGCAGGACAGAGCCGCAGGGAGGCCAGCGCTGCCAGGGAAGGACAGGCAGCCCCAGGACAGCAGGACTGAGGTACAGGATCTGTGCTGCTGAGCTGCTGTCCACAGGTGGTTGGCCTGAGCTGTGTGGGGGACAGTGTCAGAGCCCTCCTCTTGGGTTTGGACCCCAGGCAGTTCAAGCTAGGCTCAGGACACACCGTCAAGGGTCTGATGGCAGCTTTGGGTGTCCAGTGCCCAGGGGGTGGGATGGATGCTCCTGATGAGGGGTGGCAGCTGGCACATTGCTTCCTTGGCAGTCTCAGTTTCCCCATCTGTAAAATCCAGCTTCTTGGATTGAGAACTCTGTCCAGCTCTGAAGGAGGACCCTGACAAGCAGTCCTAGGATATGGAGGGCTTGTTTCCACCAAGCAGATCTCTGCTGTTGGAGGCACAAGGCATAACCACCATGGGGAAGAAAAAGCTGTTCCCAAGCCTCAAAACAGCAGAAATTGGATTTCCATCAGTATTTTCTCATTCCCACCATTTCATATTTGCATTTGGTACTCTGTGATTATGCAGGGATGGCTTTTAGATAGTTGCAGTACTTGCACATGAGAGGGACCATTTGGCATCATATGCCTTAGCTTTCTTCAGCTGTGGTCTGGGGAAATGTCACTTTTGTGAGCAGCATAAGGCACATGATCCAGGCAATCCTGGGACATGAGGCAATAAAAGTGGAGTGATGGCTTGCAAACAACTCAAAACAGTCAAGTGTGCCCATTATAATTTTAATTATAATCACATTTAAAGCAAAATAAAGCTATGCCTCTCTAGGAGCTTTAATGAGGTCATATTTCTCTTAACATTTCACTTGCCAGCTCCTGGCTGTGTGTTGTAAGCCATGCTCCAGCCAGGCCTGGGGAGAACATAGCAAAGCTGGGCTCCCATCACTGCCTAGTTTTAAAACTGAGGGAGAGAGTGCAAAAGAAAAATTTGGGTTCTTATGGTGGCTCTCTTGTCTAAAAAAAAATGGTGAAGATTGAATGTATGTTTCAGAGCAGAATCTCCCCTTTTCTTCCTGACAAGTTGTTGGCTACCTCACAAGTAACTGGATCAGCAGGTGCTAATCTCTGCTCCCTGTGACAGGGACAGGACTCAGGGAACAGCTGGAGCTGTGCCAAAGAGGTTTAGGCTGGAGATCAGGAAAGGTTCTTCACCTGAGAGTGCTGGCACTGCTCAGGGTCCCCAGGGAATGGGCACAGCCCCAGGGCTGCCAGAGCTCCAGGAGTGCTTGGACAGCGCTGCCAGGGATGGACAGGGTGGGATTGCTGGGGTGTCTGTGCAGGGACAGGGGTTGGACTCCATTATTCTTGTTGGCCCCTTCCAGCTCAGGATATTCTGTGATTCTATTAAACTACTTGGATGGGATGGGGCTGCCCTGAGCAAAGGCATGCACTGGCCACGTTTGACATCTGACATGTGGGAGTCAAGGAAGAATGGTCACCCTGAGTGACTCAAGTGTTACCACGGATTGGGCTTGGTTTGGGGAGGTGAGGCTCACAGAAAATAGGGGTAACAAGTGTTAAAGACCTGAGAGAAGTCACTATCTCAGAAACTGGGAAGTCTGAGGTCCCATGCAATAAATTCACACACAGGGCTCACCTTTACACGTAAATCTTCAGGCCACATCTGACACCAGTTGAGCTGTTGCACCTTTTTGGCTTGTTCCTCCAGATGCAGGTCCAGTTTGCTGACCTTTTAATTTCTATGCCATGGTCCTTGTTTGTCTTTATTTCATAATTAGCTGGCAATAAAGTGACATGGTCTCTCTAGCATGAATAAATCCAGACTAGCACCAACATTTTGACCCTGGGTAGAAAGCAAGCACCATAGCACAGCCCCAGAAATGGCAGCAGGCAGGGACAGTCATGGTCCTAACTGCTTCCCCCAAACAGGGACAAAAGATTTGTCATGGACTACACGCTGGAGACCAGCCAGCTGAAGCAGAAGCTTCTGAAAAGCATCTACAACCTCCAGCTGAAGTCATTTACCACACTGCAGTCAGCCAGCCCGCTGCTGCACAGCCAGCGTGGCATGGGCATGGTGGCGCAGCACCAGGTCCACCAGCTGGCAGATAAGGCCAAAAGCCTGTGTGAAGATCTGGACAACATCAAGAACCTCCTCCACTACTGCCAGGATGACTTGGTCCGGCAGATCCCCAACCCCACCGGCAGCCACTACGGGGGTGTCAGTGGGATCCATTGCTCCCTGGATGGCTCCATCTACGTGACAGCTGAGAGTGCTCCCTGGGTCCACGTGCTCAGCAGCACAGGCCACACACTGCAGTCCCTGCCCTGCCAGCAAACGGGCAAGGGAGGCAGCATTTTCTTGCCCGAAGATGTGACTGTGACTAGGATGGGAATGGTGGCTGTAGCTGACATGGTGAATGAAGCCATCTGGGTCTTCAACCCTCACACCAGCCTCTCCAAGGGGGAATGGATAAAGATCGGGAAGGTTGGTTCCCCCAGGGGTATTGGAGTAGACTCCATGGGCAAGATCCTGGTAGCAGACTATGCACAAGGCCAAGTGCACAGCTTTGCTCTGGACCATGCCTTCAGGACTCTCAATGCCCACACTGTATCGAATCTGCAGGGACCTCGCTACGTCAGCCCAGTGCCCAGTGGAGGCTTTGTGGTGAGCGAGGAGTGTGGAGACGTCAAGGTGTTCATGAGCAGCTGTAAGCTCCTCTGCTCCCTCAGCAGCAAATATGGACACCAGTTTGGCAACCCTGCTGGGGTCTGCGTGGACATGGATGGCAGCATCCTGGTGGCAGACGAGCAGCGCCGTACAGTCCACTTGTTCCCAGAGCATGGAGCTCCCATCTGCCTGGTGTCCACAGGGCTGCGGAGGCCCGCTGGCATGGCTTGCTCCTCCTCTGGGCACCTCTTTGTGGCAGACACGGGGGAGAACTGTGTCAAAGTCTTTAAGTACTGTGTGAGGCCCCCGTACAGACCCACCAAGGCTGGGGCATCATGCGCTGACCCCAACCAAACACACAGGTGGAGAGGAGGGGTGGTTCCCCTGCAGCCCCGCTGAGCTGTGCATCTGTTGGTGCTCATGGAATCATGGAATGGTTTGGGTTGGGAGGGACTGTCAAGATCATTTCATGACAGGGACACCCTCCACTATCCCAGGTTGCTTCAAGCCCTGTCCAACCTGGTCTTGGACATTGCCCCAGACCTGACTGCCTGATGGCCCTCAGATTCTCCAGGACTAGACCAGCTCCAGATCCACAAGAGTGTGTAAAGGATGACCCAGCTACTCAGCATTGGCCTTGCATCGGTGCCTTGGCAAACTTGTTATCACCACACCCTTGACTTCTTGTGTGTTTTCCAAAGCTGATATAAATATTTCTCCTCTCTCCATGTGATTTTGATGTGCTATGGTCCCATCTTCCTGATGCTGGAGCTTGATCAGAGAGGTAAGGCCATGCTAGAAGTCCATGCTGCATCACTGAGTCATGGAATCACACAATGATTTGGATTGGGTCCTTAAAGATCACTAGATCTACACCCTGCCATAACTGGGCACACCTTCCACTAGATCAGGTTGCTCCAAGCCCTGTCCAGCCTGGCATGATTGAGCCAACTGGTCTGTCCTAACTCATTCCCAGGCTGTTAGAGAGGGTTTTGCAATCAGAGAACAGCACACTGGGTCTGCAGCAGACTTCAGGAAAAGGGTAAGATGAAGGTAACTCCTTCTGTGCTGCATTCCTGACCTCTACAGGGAAGCAACAACCACTACACAGAGTACGTTTCATATGGAATCGTGGAACTCCTCACACTGGCCCACATCCTGGGGTGGGAACTGCCCTGCTGTCCTCTGGAGAGGAGGGCTCAGAGCCACGATAAAGGCAGAGTCTGCTGCCTTTATCTGCAGGGCCAGGGGAAGGTGTGCAGGGTGTGCCAGCACAGACACGGGCGTTTTCCTCTCCCTGCTCCAGCCCTCGGTGTGGGCACGGAACTTATGGACTCCTGGGTCTCTGCTGATGTCCCAGACCCAAGTCACCACCTTTCATCCCAAATGATCCCTGGAGAAGGCCTTGCTCCCTCCTGGCCCTGGAACAGGCTCTGAACACAGCAGACACCCCGTGGGGCTCTCCAGGACTCCTTTCCTTGCAGAGTGAGGCAAGCAGGGCTGCATGATCTGCAGGAACAGCGAGATCAGCCTGGTCAGTCCCAGGGCGCTGAGCTCCATCTCAAAAGGACTATTCTCCCTCATCTTATTTCCAATTCTGTGGCATCCAACAACTAAAATGAAAACCCCAAACCTTTTATCTAGCCCACTCCCACTTCTGCACCTGCTCTCCCTTTCCATGAGGGACCTTCTCACGCTGCCCAGCATCTTCCCAAGCTCACTGGCCCAAGCCCACTGTCAGATCACAGGACGGAGCTCTTGGGCACCTGTGGGCACCCGCGGGCCTCTGCTGGGCCAGGCATCCACTGGGGCAGTCAGGATGGGGGTCAAGAGGGTCCCATCAGCACCGCCGAGTCCCTCGCCACTGGGATGGGGGACAACGGCGGTCCCTGAGGAAAGGTGAGCCCTCGGACTTGGGGGATGAGGGACAATGAGGTCCTGCATGGAAAGGTGAGTCCTTGGACTTTGGGGATGAGGGACAATGAGGTCCCGCATGGAAAGGTGAGTCCTTGGACTTTGGGGATGAGGGACAATG